CAGCATAATGAAACAGACAACACTTTATAGATACTTTACAAAATGGAAAAGTGGCATAAAGAGATATCTGAGGAGGGAGGGAAGAAACAAAACAAAAGAAAAACACAAAGATAACAGTAATAATGGAACCAAGTGGGAACAAGAAAATGAGAGTTGACCTTCCTCTTAAACCTAAGTTAGCTCTTTGCTAAATAACAAGGTTAGAAATTACTATGAAGTCAGATGATCAGAAGTCTGTGAATGAACAAGTAATTACTGTTGGAAAAAAATTGTGCTATGGAAAGAACATTTTAAAAATGGTTATTGGAGATATTTATTTTGTGCTTTTGCATTGAAAACATAAATATACCTATCAAAACGTTCATACCTTCACAATTTCACAACTTGCAAATAATTTCCTGACCTATTTAAAAATCTCCAAAACCTTAAAACAAGTTTGTTTTTTTCATCCTAAATATTCCAAAGTGCTTTAAGTGGGTTTTAGAAAGCTATTTGTCAAAAATATAGAACTTCTGATTAGTTGCAAGAACAAGTGTTGGTCATCTTCCATGAAATCATTTTTCTCATCAGGGATGAGAAATTTAGGGTGCTCACTCTTTACTCCCTGCTCAGCTCAGCCCCCACATCTTTGCTGAAATAGCTTAATATCTGTAGTTACTGATGTGAGATTTTCCAGGTAGTATGTCTTTCCCACTTGAGGAACTCTTACTTACCACTTAACATTTCAAATTCCCACTCTATCACAGAACACAGATCTTTAATTCGTCATTTGTTTGAAGTTCTTAAAAGTTCTAATGTCCCTGTTCCTCAACCGAGGTTACTTGGGAGATATACTCTTTGGATCTTTGCATATCCTCAAGATAAATGGTCTCACTTGGGAAACATTTATTTGTAGTCTTTCTTTAAAGCCTGGAGATGTGTTTTTCTTTTTTTGTTCCTTTATGAAGTCCTCTCTTTACCCTGAAATTAAAGAATTTGAATTATCTCTTCCTGCATGTCTAATGAGCATCTCAAACTCAACATTCCTCAAAACTCCAGTTTCCCTTAGCTAATACCATCCCCAAATATGACCTTTACATAAACTTTCTTATCAGAGTAAGCAGAAAACTACATCCTTCCAGTTATTTAGGCAAAAACCCAAAACAAAAAAACCTTTTTGTTGGCTCTATTATCACACATCACACCCAATCCATCTACTTGCAAAATATTTCCAGAATCTGACCATTTGTCACTCCTCCCCAGTAACCACACTGGCCCAAGCCCTAATCATTTATCTAAATTACTGTAATATCCAATGATCTGATCTCCCAGCCTCTGCCTTTACTACCACATAGTCTATTCTCTAAGAGCATTATGCTTCTTAAAACCTAAGGTCACAATGAGGTCACTCTTCTTCTGCTCAAAAACTCTCCAATGCTTCCCCTATGTACCAACGAATAAAAGCTAAGAGCTTTACAGTAGCCTACAAAGTCCTACATAATCTTGTTTCCAGCTCCCACTCTGCACTCACCTCTTAACTGTTCTTGCTGCCTCATCTCTGCCCAAGTGGCCTCCTTGCCAGTCTCTGAGTTGCAGATATGATACTACCTTAGGATTTTTAAAAAAAAATTTAATGTTTATTTATTTTTGAGAGAGCGAGAGTGTGAGCTCAAGGCGGGAGGGGCAGAGACAGAGGAAAACACAGAATGGGAAGCAGACTCCAGGCTCTGAGCTATCAGCACACAGCCCGATGCAGGCTCAAACTCAGGAACCACGAGATCATGACCTAAGTCGGACACTTAACCAACTGAGCCACCCAGGTGGACTCACGATTTTAGGACTTTTAAACTTCTTGTTCCTTATTTTCGCCGCAGATATTTACGAGGTTGGCTCCCTCACTTCCTTCAAATTGCTGTTCAAACATCACCTTGCCTCCAACCACCCAATAAAACACTGTAACTTGCCTCTGCCTTATCCCAGCACTGTCTAGTCACTCTACTTCACTTTTTTCTCTATCACTTATTCACATCTGACACATTCATTTTATTATCTACCTCTTCCTATTCAATGAGGGCATGGCTCAAAATTGTTTACCCTGACTTCCAGTGACTAAAATAGTATCATTGACATGAAGTAGACCATAAATATTTGAATGAAATGTCTGCCTAAGTGTCCTCCCCCTTCCCTCCATGTTACAGGGAGCCTCCAGAATGAGAGCTCTTTCAAACCAGGGAAATTTTCCTCTAGTATCTATGAACTGTTTTCCTAAGTCTGTTTCCTTTCTTTCTTCCTCACGGTTCTTTACTTATTCACATTAAATATCCAAACTTTTCTTCAAGGTGTTTTCATTTTTATTACAATCTTCAGGTCTTTGGGCCTTGTGTTTCTAGAGGTAACTACTACTGCACATATTCCATCCAGGCCTCTAATTTGGTCCTCAGGAGTGGCCATTTCCCTCTTTTTCTACTACATTTAATGCATTGGGTTTTTGTTGTTTTAATTTATAGAAAGTTTATTTCACACTGATTGAACTTCCTCATGTGCTTTCTCAAAATTAAAGCTGTTATCCATCTCCACCAGCAATTCTTTTTCACCACCACCCACTTCTGAATATCCTATTTTTCTGTAGACTTCTTTACTATTTTCCTTTGTCTACTCATTTGCCCTTTTGCACAAGTCAAACTGTGGGACAGTACGAGTGGCAATAAACCTGTGAGCAATACAAGCAAGCCAGTTATCTCTACTTCTGTGGGCTAAGGATATATTAACCAGAAAGATGCCAGTACCCATACAAACAGGAACTGAGAGCCTACCACGCAGCAGCTCAGCAGGTACTCTGAAGGTAGTCTTCCTAGTACCACACCTGTGATACATCTGAGCCCACAGATCTTTGGGAGGCACTCACATACTCCGTAGAACCCTGTTTAAGATGTAAGGTGCAACCCAGTTTAAATGTGGGTGGAAAGGTAGAAGTAGAGGGTGACAGGATGAAGACACAAGCTAGAGGGAAAACTATAACAGAGCAATACTCATGACAGCGGGGAAGGCTGTAGGAGAACATATGAATAGACAAGTCCTTGATGGGTGACAGGACATTTAAATCACTGTAATAGGAGGAATGAAAGAAAGGATGCTTATTATATGCATACAAGTTTGTGAGATAAAGTACTAAGAAGTCCATGGCTTCTGTTTCCTCCACCAAAAATAGGTAAGGTCACTTCTGGGTGAAGACAGTGAAGTCAAGTGGGATCATAGCTCGATCATACTTAACAGCTAAAGAATTGATAGGGGATTGAGAAAAAAGGAAAAGCCATAAAGCCATCAGCCACCAAACAAGAAAATATATACCACTTCATGTTAGAAGGAAACCAAAGAAAGAAATTCAGGTAAGATTTAGATTAGGCTCAAAATAACATCTAGCCCACCCCAGTATAGGGGGGAAAAAGCTTGCAACATTTTAAGAATTCTCATCCAAAATCTAGAACAAAACAAACTGAGGAAATAAGATGTCCACAGAAAAGTCAATGAAAAACCCTTTCCAATTTCCCACATTTCCAAGTATTCCTTTTTTCCAGCACCCTGAACCCACTATGGGAACCATTCAAGGTGTTCTTCCTTAGTAGTAAGATGCACACACAACTAGGAGAGACCTCAGTTTGGGCTCATTATGAAACCTCAGAACAGAGCAGTGCTCAGGTCTTCCAACAAAGACTTTTCCCCACTTTCAGTTATTATTGGGCTACAGAAGAGGCAAAGAATACAAGAACTAGCCTGATGTGGGAGCAAATTGGAGAAAACGAGACTCAGAGAAGGTAGAAAGGCTATTATTGTCAAAAAGGAGGATTTACACTTAGTATAGTAAAAGCCCTCATAACCTGTCCTAATGGAACAAGTACAGAATTTTATTTAAAAAAGCACGTTAGAGGGGGGCATTGAAATGATGATCCATACCTTTAAAAAAAATCTAAAAATATCTAAATGTACTTTCACTCATCTCTTGATAACAAAGCCAAAGATTTTTGTTTTGAGCATGGATCCTTTAAAGTTCATGCTATCTAGTTAGAATTTTCCTGTTGCTATCAAGCTGAGTCACTAGCCTGTGGCTATCTTCCCTGCCACCTTTATTTCTTGTAGTTCTCAGTTACTTCAACATTCATATGAGTAATCATGGCCTCAGATCTTTGACTCCCCACCTCAAAGAGCCCTTCTTCTATCTCAGTCACTTCCAAGGTTTTGACTTTTCCTCATCAATATCAGATCACATCTGAAATCCTGATTTCACACACCCAATCTTCTCACCTTCTTGTCTTTTAGGCTCACTTTTAGCTTCATTTCACTGAAGGTTTCAGTTCGTGGGTCAGCACCACTTTCATACAATCCACCACTTCCTCTCCATCATTTATCTCTTGAAGAGCTTAGATTCCATGTTCTGGTACTATAATCACCACCTTTGTGAATATCTTCACCTCCCTGGTCTGTTTCTACTTCTATCAAAAGTTAAAAATCTATTTGCTTTTTCTACACCTGGAATCAAGTACCTAAATGCTGCTGGAAAAAAAAAAAAAAAATCACACCACAGTTTGCCTCGTTTCATTTAAATTTATGACCAATCCCCCAAAAGATACATCACTGCCCAATTCTTACCATGTATTTTTTTCCCCATGGAGTTGTGAGTTCCCATATAATTTCTTCTTTCTCCTCAAATTCCTACATCAACTTGCTTTAATCTACATTAACACCCTCACTTTATTTCATCATCAGTAACCCTTACACTTCCTTTTTTGTACTCAGTGGTGCATTATGAAATAAAAACATGTAAATAAAAATACAAATACTTTAAAACTGCTTTACAGTCAAAATGACCATAAACATTAGTTATGTCATGACTGAATATGCCATGAGCAAGCCCATTTGATCTTCCCCAACCATTACATACACCAACTTGATAAAATTTCAAACTATTCCATTTTAAAGAAAAACACATCATTATTTAACAATTTTAAAAAGAGAAATTGATGCCATTACCATATTTACATTTTTAACATGTTAAACTCCATGAAGGCAAGTTCTGTGAGTATACATTATCATATTTTATCATAGTCAATGCTGTATAACCCAATGTGTTTCCATTTGGATTTTTTTTGGCAAATCAATCACAGCGCAATAAAATATTCAAATGTGATTAACTAAACCTCTGATGTCTTCGGTCTTATGTGGCCTGAGCCCTATTTACATTAGTCATGTAATATAAATCAATATTCTCTAGATGACGGTGAATTATAAACTATAGTTCTATGATAAAGTATCTACAAATAATTATGACAGACTCAACACCATAGCCTTCTCTAGAGCTGCTTTTTTAATGTTTTTTTTTAATGGTCACTGAAGGAAATTAAGAGGATGTTTTCCAACTCACCATAAACACTGATCATTAATTAAAAATAAATGGAAACTGTTTTAGAAAATGAGAAGAAAAAAAGCTTATTTGGCAATGTGCTCTTATATACTAGCACCTTTGAGCCTTAAAAAATCCAACAGCATTTACAACTCCTGCTGTATCTATTTTAGTTATGTGAATGCTCATCTGCCTAAAAGCAGATGATCAAATGAACAGAAGAGCAGGATAAAATACATATTTAGTAGGCACTTATGAACTGAATGGAAATTAAGTTTGAATAGGGCCCATTAAACACTTCATTAAAGGAATTTTGTTGCAAAAGAGTTAAACATTATTACTGGCACCACCAATAATACCATGATGTTGTTAATGATTTGATTATATGCGGAGTGCAGTTTGTTTTCAAACTACAAAATGTTAAAATCAGGGTGCCCAAACTGCTGAAAGATAATAGACTTAAGAGTGTATGCTGGTAAATAACATTCTAACAATAAGGACTTGGTAAGTTGGACCATAACCAAACTAAGCTCATTAGAGCATGTAGCTTGTTACTTTTAGGAAGAATTGTGATTCTCTCCATTATTTAACACATTAACAGAAGACTGTAAATGTACTTAACTCTTTAGTTTTCAAAGTGAAAACTTCCATTACGTTTATTTTCAAAACAAATACAATGCCTGAAAAATCTCCTAAATCCCTTTTTGAAAAGACTGTCATCATCCATATCCTACAACACAATACAGTTTCTGTATTCTTGGTTGAATGTGTTTTTGGTTGGAAGGATGAAGAAGTGGGGGTGGGAATATACCCAAAACTTATTTACAAGTTGAAACTTAAAAATCCACTGAAATGGAGTAAGAATGAGTAGAACATTTAATCAGGTCACAGGGCCTAAATTTAAGTTCCACTGAAGAACCCACTTTGCATGAGAAATATACAAACTGGGGGGTAAACAATCATTTATAGTGCCTATACCATGTAAATGAACTACATTATATATAAAGCACTATATAACCAAACTTGGAGGTTAAGTAGCTTTTAGCAAACTTAAACTGGATAGAAATGGAATTCAGTAGCAAACAAAACTCTCAGAGAGATACATCACCCACCTAAATTTGACATAGCATCACTTCACTTTTTGAATTTTGGCAATAAAATTAATCTCCTTAGCTTTACTCATTTAAATGGCATACATTTATATATAACTCTCAAGATCACTCTAATAAACACTACCTAAAATAATACATATAAGCCCCAAAAGATGAATGACCTGAAAGTATTATTGCATATTATGCATTTACTAAATATAATTTTTATACACCTATTATACATTTCCAATTTTTCCTTGGTTATCATTCCAACATATACAGATAGAAACCATGCTGGCATCACTATACAGCCAAATGTGGCAATGGATAGGCCAGAACATACAGGACATGACATTTCAAAACTCCTAATCCAGTTCTTAAGTCAAATTCAGTGATTTTTACTTTTTTATTTCTAAAGTTAATTTACTATGGTTAGGGTAACCAGTTGACTATCAAATCCAAGTGAATAAAAATTCAGTCAAGTAATATTTAAGGCTCATGTAATCAAATTTATTTTTCATGTTTTAATTTTGGTCAGCTTTTATAATATTTATAAAATACACTGTTGGTCTCAAAAAGTTTTATAAACTAATTAGTTCAACAACTAAGACTCAGATAATTGTTATCTGACAAAGTGGCATTTTATTTCTGGCCACATAATGTGTATCCTATCATCATTTTCTACTGTTAATACCAATAAAATGGAATTGTTATATAGTAAGAAATATGGAAACTAAATACTCCCTCCCCACCCTCCAAAAAAGAACAATGTATCACTTTAACTTTGTTAGGAGTCACAAAAATTTTTATTTTGGAAAAATATTTCCTTCAATGTTTGATAATGAATTTTATTTAAATGAATAATTTACTTTTCTGTGCAGACCAATTAAAAAGTATGCCTCTTTCCTTTCATAAGCAAACTAATTCTGCATGGCAGATAAGAAATTAATCCTTTACTTTCTTCTACCTTAAAAATTATTATGAAATTTTCCTCATTATGAACTAGTTATTTCTGTATGGATTGTTATCATGCTGCTGTTAAAAAAAAAAAATAAGGATAAGGACACATGGGAAACAAATCATAAACTATAATACTAGTTTATAATGCAATATATTAAACATTGTTTAAATATTAAACAGCAAAATACTCCTATATTAAATAAATAAGACTTGAATTTGTTATGTGGAACTACAGGCCAATACCATCAATAAGGGGGTCAGTCTAGTGCAAAGGGTGGCCACCAAGAGGAAAAGTAAAAGCAGGAAAGAAAGAACGAAAGAAGGAAAGCAGGGAGAAGGAAAGAAGGGAGAGAAGGAGGGATGGAAGGGAGGGAGGGAGGGAAGGCGGGAGATGAGGAAATACGACATTTAATACTGGCATTGTTTTCAACAACAAATTAAATCAGTGATTCTCAATCCTTTCTGAACATGAAATTACCTAAACAACTTTTTAAAGATACTGATGATCAGGTCTCAGCACAAATTAAATCAGAATCAGGAATCAGGCAATAAATATTTAAAAGGTCCCCCAAGTGATTCTAACGTGCAGTCAAGGTTGAACAATTAACTGACTGAAACCTACAAGTTTCTTAATGTTACCTGACTCAGAAAAGTGTCCTATGAATAAAGAAATGGAAGTTTTCTTTTACCAATGGGACAAGCAAGGGTGTCTCCAGTTAACAGTAACTTATGGTAAGTCAAGGTCATTAATGTATACCTCATTTCCATTAAACATCTATGTGTACCTCTTCATTCCCTGTATTTCTGTATTTCAAACTCCAAGACCTAGTCAAAGTACTTTTTGTAATAAATCAGTCACACTGAAAAGTTCATTAATTCATGCATATAAATATTTACTGAACGCCTATTATGTGCAAGGCACAGTGATAGGTGCTGCTGTAGGACTTGGGAGTCATGAGATAACGAATAATGACTGGCTGAAAAAAAATTGTTTTGGAATTAATGACTATTACACTAATTACATGGACCTAAATGAGGGACTGAACTGCTGAAAAAAGAAAAAGAAAATTAAGTACATACTAAGGGTTTGATTTTAAAATACATACAGCATAGCATATTTGTACTTTTCCTAATGTTCCTTTACAGTATTTCCAGAAGCCTTTGAATATACATAAGGCAAATTCAAGATAGAAAAATAAACCCTGTTTAAAGTAGATGTTCCCAATTTTAACCACACTCTGTATCAAGTAAATTTCATATATGACATAAGTATAAATACTAAAAATTTTTATAGAAAGGTAGTTCTCGTCCACTTGTAGTAGTCTTAACAAGTAATCTTACATTAAAATAGTACAGATTCTAGTCTTTGACGATTTCATCATGGAGAAAGTTTATACAGTACATTAATTCATTTTGAAAACAGTTTATATGATGAGAAAGTCTAAAGTGAACAAATTTGAGTTCTTTTGTTTTCAAGAAGAGAGGTGCACAGAAAGGAAGGGGGTAGAATCTGTTCAAACCTTATAAATATCCTATAATCTAATAATTTAAAATGCTGACTGCTTTTCTTAAGAACATAGTGAATTCCACATGAATAAATACTTTTTTCTATCCACTATTGGTATGGACTTCTGTGATTACTTTAAAAATAAATAAGTGCTTCTCATTCTTATGATAGCATTAAATTTCAAAATGAAGCTAGGTAATGTCAGCATAACATAAGAAGGAGCTAAATGTTTACTAAAAAAATGTTCATTTAAGAGAGATCACTGGGGAAAAAAAATGGAGAAAAAAAATGACACAAGATGAACAATCAGCAACAATCCTAATGGCGAAAACTCTTTAGGGGAGTAGAGGCTCCAGTTGCTTTTAAGTAATAAAAGGTGAAATCAAGACTCAAGGAAAATGCTCATTCATTGTACCTTGGATGCAACACTCTAGAGAAGTAGTAAAATATTTTACTAAGTTAAAATATAGGTTTTATATTTTATACGATATTGAATACGCACATAAAAATACCAGTGTTTTTATCTTGTTTCTGTTCAGACACTTAATTAAGCAAATGTGTTCTTTGGTGTCTGGGAGAGTTATCAATATTTAGGGATAATGGAAGATAAGAACTCCAAGATCAACATGCCTAGAAACAGAAGACTCAAAACCTATACCATACATACAAAGTAAGATTCAAAGGTGAACTTATGAGAAAGATAAGAAAGTTAAAGTTACATTGTAGTAGGACTAATACATTTCTTTCCCCCAAACATACTCTGGCTCCCAAAACAAAAAGTACTACAGCCTATCATGTTTTTAATCTGTCTTCTGAGATTTTTCAAGTGGAAAGATAGCACAGATAGAAATATATCATTCTAAGTTTTAAAATCACCAAAGTCAGTGAGAAAGAAGAATGTACATTCATTCAATGTATTCATTGTAAGTAAAGAAGTCTTGAAAAGGCCGAACAGTTCAACCAAAGCTGAAGAATTGTTCTTGATTTTTCATTATTCTTTTTTAAATAAAGAATAAGTATAGGTATAGTATACATACAGGTTGACATTCTGATTCATTCAAAATAGTCACATCCCTTTGCTAGTTTTGGAAGTTCCAGAGACTAAAATTTGATTCCATTCATAGCATACTATTTTCAATAAAAGGAATTATAGAGCAATGAAAAATCAGAAGATGGCTTAGAGAGCCTTATAACCTCTAAATATACACACATTTATAACCTGCATTTATTTTCTAAAGAAACAAATTTTAAGTAATGCTAATTTAACCAATGGAGAAAAAACTTCTATCAAAATATACAATTTCCGTTACAGACTAGAAGGCTAATATTAAAAAAATAGTTGTAAGCCAAAAAGTTTGCTTATATGGATGACAAGCATCATCCCTTTGAAGCATAAAGCATCAAATAAGGTCTTATAAAAGATGGATCTGTGACCTTCTTCATTTGTAAGTTCTTGATAAATTCATAAAGCTTGAGTCTCAGTCTTTAGGTCAAGGTATATCCATGCTTCTTAATCCAGATCTCCAGAAAAAGGGAAACCAAGTAAAATTCAGAATCTCAAGTGGGATTTATGCTTTACCATGTACCTGGAAAATAATATTATAATAGGTTATAATGATTATAGGAATTTTAGAATTTTCAGAAATGTAAAAATAAGTTGACTTTTTTTTTTTAAACTTAAAATTCAAAAGTGAACAGGATGCTTTGTTTTCTAAAAAACTGGAAGCCTGATACTATACTTTGGGAATACAGAATAAGAACTTCTGAAGCCAGAAGAAACATTCCTCTTATTAAATTCTATAGTCAGAGCTTCTGGCTAGAATAATAAATGTTTTTTTTTAATATATTATCAATTATAATCACTGGGTTACCTCAGTAACCTCTGACTTTAGAAAACCCTTAATATTCAGCAAGAGACTTACACCAAGAAAGTGACAGATTTTAAAGAGCACCACGAGAATAAATTCAATGGTACTGTGATCATAAGGCTGTTCTTAAATTTTCCAATTACAAAACTGATGTTACTGTAAAAGGACTTTAAGAATTCTGTTTATAACAGTAATTAAAATAAATTCAAAACCTGAATTCCTTTCACAGGCTACCCTTAACTCAAATCCAGTCAGAGACCTTTTGATGCTGGCAAAAAAACAAAACAAACAAACAAACAAACAACAAAAAACCCTGCAGGGAATCATATAAATCCAAGCCCCTGGGATAGATAGAACACAAGGTTCAAAAAGGTCACACAGTTCATTACAGCCAGATCATAAAATCAGGACTAAAATCTAGGTCTTCTGACTCAGAGTTTACTGTTCTAACAAGCTTATAAGCCCTTTCTCCATCTATTTCTAAAATCAGTACAACAAAGATATTTATTAATATCTACTAGAGATCAGCATCATACAATGTTCAAAAAAGGAAACTGGGGGATATGTATACAATTTTAAAGAGCTTAAAATCTAACTGAGGAGAAAGGAAAATTACTATAATAAAGCAGAAGTACATGAATTTTAGGATCAGAATTACCTATCCAATGTTTCCCAGAACCGTAAGAAAACTGGTCTATCCAAATGACGTTTGTGATAGCTGAGTTCTAATACTGTTACATCCCATTTCTGAACGTTTGGATCTAGACGAACTTCATCATATTTGAGATGGAAGGCTTTAACTGTATGGGGGGAAATAATATTTTTAATTCAAACTGCGATCAAAATTATAAAAAATATTTTATAAAAGAATAAAACACCCCAATATAGACATTAAGAAAAAAACTTTTTTCAAAAGAAAACAAAAACTTTAAAAAAAAAAAACAATCTTTCTTCAACCAGATGAAGCTACATTATAACCAAAGAGACTTTTGAAATAGATTCTACTAAGTACTGTGGTATCCTCAAAAACATTCAACAAATACCTACCAAGGATTGGGTCACTGGGACTGAAATGAGGAATAATGCATATTATGAGGCTAATAAAATGCATATGGTCTTGTGAAGGATAATAACAAGAAAAAAACTATTCAAATACAGTATGATAAAGTTAGGAGTGTACCACAGAAACATAAAAGAGTATCTTACCCAGACCATGGAGTTCAGAAAGTCTTGCGTAGGTAATGATATCTAACGTAAGACCTAAAGGCTGAGTAAGAATTAAGCAAACACAGAAAATGACTTTTGTTTAGCATCAACATGCTCAAAGAGAAAACAGTTTCATCTAGGAACTAAAGAAATTTAATGGAACTGCATCATACAAAGTAATGTAAAGAATGAGCAAAAGGTAAGACCCCAGATTCAGAACAATAATGGCCTTGTAGGCCATATTAAAGAGTTTGGATTTTCATCTAAGAGATATGGAGAATCACTGCAAAGTGTTTAGCAGCGACTATTGATACAATTTAACAATCTAGAGAAGAAAGAGATTTGCTCAACTAGGGAGAAGGTACGTGCCTGGCAAGAGAAAGATTCAAGAAATAATTAGGGAGTGAGAACGAATGGGACTTGGTAAGAAATGATGAAAAGGGAAAAAGAAAAATTTGGAAAGTTACCTAGAAGGAGATAATTAAATGATATAAAAAGCAAGTCTAGCAAAGATCAAGAAGAGGATTTCAGGCATAAGAACAGTGGTAAAGGGCTCTGAAATGAAAGCAAGCTTGGCACACACCCTATAAACAAGAATAACTTCTTCTGTAGACAATGTCCTATACTGTAAAATTTGGCTATGGTAAAAAAAAATCTGAATTTGTTCCAAATGTGATAGTAAACCACTAGAAAGTGATTAAAGCAAGAAGTAAACCACTAGAAAGTGATTAAAGCAAGAAGATGAAATTATCTGATTTTCGTTGTTAACAGTTAATTCTAGTGTCGGGTGAATAAAAGACTCTAGCGGGCAAATCCTCCCAGCTGGTGTATCCTACAAAAGGTTAACAAATGGACCATAAAATACTGACTTTGAATCTCTCTCCCTGATCATCCGGTTGAATCTTACTTTTGTATCTGCAATCAGTTTACCATCAGTGAAGCTTCTGTTTTACAGGTACACACGTAAGAGTTAGCTTTTCTTTCCATTAATTTTTTTTTTTTTTTGTATATAAGATATGATTGTTACCATCATCATCATCTAGTATTAGGGGTCTCTAAAGAGAAAAATGATTGACTTCGTTCATTTTTTTGATAGCTACGTTATGGACTGTTTATTCCACATTGCTTGCTAGCCTACTGGCTTTGGATGTTAACAATGAATCGAAGTGTAATTCTTGATGCAAATCCAAAATGAATCATTTGTGCTCACAAACAGAAACACTTAAACATTACTTCTAAACTATTTGCTTTTCCAATTAAAGGTCCCCTCACCAAACACATCATTCATTTTGAGTTTAATTCAATTTAATGAATTAAACTGATTCATTAAAGGGGCTACACATTATAGCTTCAAAAAACCCATTTTCAAAATATTTATATGTGTAAAAATTTTTTAATTTAGAAAATTTTTAAATTAAATGAAGTCAACAGTTTCAATACTTCCTATTTTCCTTACTACATGTTTCACTTTTCTAATTTTCTCAGTATGATTTGTTTTAACTCATTCTCTCTCTCTCTCTCTCTTTTTTTTTTTTGAGAGAGAGAGAGAAGGAGAGAGAAGGGAGGCACAGAACCTGATGCAGGGCTCGATCTCACGAACTGTAAGATCATGACCTGAGCTAGAGATGAAGAGTTGGACAGTTAACTGACCAAGCCACCCAAGCGCCCCTACCTTAAATCATTCTTAAAAATATATTTTTAAAAATGATTTATCTAAATCTATAAAAGCATACAGTACTCCACTCCCTACTTTCAATAGATTTAGTTTATACAGTATTTATTCCACCAGAATAGATAACTTTTAAAATTAATGGTGAAACATTAGAGTCTAAAAAGTCTAAGTCACAAATAAGAAAGCATAAGGCTTCTCTCATTATACAAAAATTTTATTGGCATGAAGCTGTGAAGGCAAGCAAACTTACACCAAGACATTATACAAAACATCTTTCTGATTCAGAAAAAGACTTTTAGTTTACAAATCTCAGCAAAAAATAGAACAAATGAAGTTCTTTTATAAGAAAGCCAGTCTTCTAACTGGTAGCACAATGAGTACTGAAGCAAAGTATTTCACACAATTCAGAATTGTTCATTTTTTACAAACTGCATGAATCTTGTCAACATTACTTTACAGGAACAAAGAAACAAAAGAAATAGACAAAATGCTCTTGAATAATATTTAGTAGGTACAAAGATGGCACATCAGATGACAAAGGGGCAACATAATCTAGAAGATTAATGAAAACTTTTTCTCAATGATAACCAGCAAAAATTTGAAGAAATCATCATTTAAAAATCTTGATCAACAAATATATGTAGCTACCTCAAACATAAAAATATTTTTAAAAAGCTATATGCAGTTGTAAGCTCAAACTTCTTGTAACGTTTAAAAGATTTTATTTGCCCATTTTATACAAGTCAATACTTAATATCTTCTGAAAAATTTTGGATTTTACTATTATGCAATATGAAGAAAAATAGTACAAGCTTTTACCATGGCCCATATAGATGCTCCTGTTAAAACCCTCAGTTTTCCGCTATGCTATATAGATGTTACCATTTTCTAAGTGTGTTATGGGGCAAAGGGTGAAAACCTAGAAAAGGCAAGAGTAAAAACAAGGAGATCAACTAAAAGCTAAGAGATAATAATACTCCTAAGTTTCTAGCTTAGGCAAATTACTAAAGAAAACTAAATGAGGAAAAGAAACAGTTTGGGAATGAGGGAGAGAACAAGACGATTCCATATGGAACAAGCGGAGTCTGACATACCAACAGGACCTCACAGAGGAGTTATCTGGTAATTACTGAGATATACAGGCCCAGAATATAAGCTAGAAACCTTAGAATAAGGGGAGGGATATAGATGATAATTGAAAGCTATCAGATCTCCTTGAGAGAGTATCTATACTTAAAGGAAAAGAGAAACAAAATATTAACAGGTAGTTGAAAGCCAGAGGGAAAGTAGCTAGAGTCTGAAAAAAGAGTAATAAGCCTTGGAAAAGAAGGTTTTAAGTCTGATAAGGAGGTCAAAGGAATCTAATATCTGGGTCACTGGTAAGTTTGGTGAGAACAGTTTAGTGGAGAACAAGAAAGCTGAACAGAGGACTGAGAACTGAATAGAAAATGAGTTAGTAGAGACATTTCTTTCAAAATTTCATAAAAGGAAAAAGAAAAGGAGCTTTGAAGTCAGGAGAAAGGGTTTTATTTTATCAGGAGAAAGGGTTTTATTTTAAGAGGGAAGAGGCAAGAGTACTTTCATTTTCTTTTTATTTGAGAGAGAGAGAGAGAGAGAGAGAGAGAGAGAGAGAGAGAGAGCGCGCGCGCACACACACACTCACACGGGTGGGGGTGAGGGAGAAAGAGAATATATTCCAAGCAGGTTCCACGTGCAGTGTGGAGCCTAACATAGGGCTTGATTCCACAACCCTGGGATCATGACCTGACCCAAAATCAAGAGTCGGATTTACTTTCACTGTAAATACTGACAGAAAGGATTCAGTAAAGAAGGAAGATTAAAAAGAATAATTCATGGAAGAAAATCGTAACTTTGTTAAAAAAAAAAAAAGACTCAAGTTATCTAAATTTCAGAAGACTACCAATACGAACGAAACTACTACAACATCATTATATTCTAAATGAAATTTAGACAGCATTTACAAAGGCATAATCATTCTTTTTATTAAAACACTATTCAACAGGCAAGCAAGTAGGTAAAATGTTCGTGTTCATGGATACTTTACTTTCATTAAAATCCCCATTCTCTATCTTTAGCTTTCTATTTATCAACTCTGTAGCTTCAGAAATAACATAAAAAGCTATCATAATATTAGTAATATTAGAATAATTAATTAAAATGAATGAAGGCAGAACAGAATAAATGAGTAAATCTTTCAAGCTTGGGTAGTTTCTATCTTGGAAGAATGGTGATACCACTAACAAAAACTGAGGCTGCTTTAAAAGAGGCTGGATTTTACAGTAGCACACTCTACGTTCATAATAACTGAAGCTGTTACTTCTAATAAACATACTTGTTTCATTAGAATGGCTTTTTAAAAACAATTTTACTGTGGTTACTAACTTAATTGGGTACTTGAATTAAATAATAATTGGAGTATCTCTACCAGCAAAAAAAATAGACCAGATTAATCTACATTTGGTATATACTGATATATTAATATACCAAAAGATAGAAGCCACATGAAATCCATTTAACAGGTATCTATTGAATGCTTCCTTTATGCCACGCCCTCTTCTGTGCTGACAATACAAGAGCAAACAAGGCAGAAAAGGCTCCTCCCACTAAGCAACTTGCCATTATAACCAGGAAGACGGAAAATAAAGATATAAAAACAAGATAATACCAAACAGCAGCAAGTACTATCATGAAAATAAAAGGGCTTAATGAGTAACTGGGAGAAGGTAATGGCTTTCCAGGATGGCCAGAGAAGGATTCTCTAAAGGAGAGAATATTTGAATTTAGAGTTGAATGAAAAGAAAAAGTCAATCATGCTACAATCATTCAAGACAGTGGAAACAGCTGGTAAAAATCATATGGCACTTCAAATTACAGCTATACACTACTGTTAGCAAAAGTCAACCCATTTTAAAACTAGTCATCAGTTTTAATAAAAATATATGGACGTGCAAAAATATTAATGCTTTTGAAGTTTAAGGCCTAAAGTAATTCTATTTAACTCAGGGGATAATTCACTTTTAGATAGAAGTACACAAAAAATAATAATGTCCAAAAAAAAAAAAAAAAGTAGTTCACAGGTGCTTAAAAATTAAAATATATTAATAGGAACCCTTTGATACACACATCGTATATGCACAGCCACAGATGGCTTTCTCTTCCATAAAGCAAGAGCATTTCTATATTGGTAAATGTAGGAATATTTAAAGTAAAAGTAAAAATAAAGAGAATCTTACTTTTAGCAAATATGTCAACTGGTGATCCATCAGGCAAAAGCCATGGCCAGCCTTTGAACTGCCATGCAGGACCCTGCACAAAAACTGCTACAACCCGATCCCTATAAATAGAAACGGGGGAGGATTAGAATAGAGAGACAGTATCTCATAGATGAACTTTGGTTACTGTAAATCCTTAAGAAAAGGACTCAATGATTCATGTGATATAGTCTCCTGTCAACACATCTGTGAGGCAAACAAAGTCCATTACCACAACTCTTCATTACGTTACCATTAAAATACATTAATGATTGCTATACGTCTCATGCACTGCACCTGGGTCTTTTAAACATAATTACATACACAATCCTTATATGCAATCTTTTTAACCTTTTAATTTGCCCTTCTCCTAGACTAACAGGCCCACTCTTTCAATGCAATAGGGAACACTGGTGGATGTATTAATTGAAAAAGTAGGTTTTAAAAGGAAATCATTTAATTCAAGTAGATCTTAAATATTTTACATTAATTAAAAACATTATAAATAACTCACCAATCATTTTATGAAGCCCCAAGGCCTTATTTTTGAGTTCTTCTGAGTATTTGGAAAGTAATTTGAGTATAAAACCATCAGACTTCTTAAAATTTTTTCCAATTGTTTTACAACTGTTTCACTCACCCTAATTTTTTTTTAATTTTTTAATTTTTTTTATTTTTGTAGGAGAAAGAGACAGAGTGTGAGCAGGGGAGGAGCAGAGAGAAAGGGAGACACAGAGTCCGAAGCAGGATCCAGGCTCTGAGCTGTCAGCACAGAGCCTGACACGGGGCTCAAACTCACAAACCGTGAGATCATGACCTGAGCCGTAGTCGGATGCTCAACCGACTGAGCCACCCAGGCGCCCAGTCTATAAGCATTTTTCTAAAAATGCAAGTTTTTCTAAAACCTTGTTTTTCTAACTGTTAGACTTTATTTTTCTGAAAAGAACAAATCTTTTTCTAGGCCCTCGTATTTCATTAGTTCACAAAATATTTAATTAAATTGAGGAATTATAATAAGTGTAACAGTCATAAACAGCTTATGCTAGAACTAAAGAGGTGGAAACAAAACCATAATAAACAGTAACAGTTAACATTAATAAGACTTATTATGAACATTCACTATGTGCCAGTGCTGTTCTAAGCACCTTACACAGTACCTATGTTAATACACTGAATCTTCCAAAAAATCCAATGAGGTGAGTGCTATTATTACCCTATTTTACAGATGAGGAAACAGAAGGGCATGGACAGTCCATTTGCAGAAGAGAAATGAAAGGAAGAAGAGGAGGAGTGAGAAGAAGAAAGGGAGGGAATGGCTGATCCCGTGCCCCGGTTATGCTACTGTTCCTGGGTGAGGACTGATAAATCATGAGAACAGCCATTTTAGTAGTATTATGGAAATCATTTTAACCTTACAACTCCCTGAAATGGTCTTAGGAATGCCCAGAGGTCCAAGATCACATTTTAAATAACCACTGCATTAGATGAAGACTCTACACATCCAACAAAGAATTAAACCAGGGCTACCTTCTATTCAGATAAAAGATCTACAGCAACAATTCAAGTTACTGTGAAAAACCACAGCTTAAAATTCTAACCTGCTCAAAATCTCTAAGGCTAAAATGAAATCTTAAATTAAAAATCTCCTTTCATGGAATACATGTCCCATATTGCCAAATGATATTAAATGACCTCTTAATTTCATGACCTAGCTTTAGCCATACAATAGTTGAAAGCAGAAGGTACCTCCCAAACTAAAGGAAATTTGCTGGAGAGACATCACCTAGATCCTACTGGGCTTCACAGGGTTAGCATGTAAGCAGGATAATATAAATACTATTCTTGGTGAATTCTTGAAAGGATTAACAGAGAAGGAAAGAAGAAAGATAAGGAAAATATTCCTAAGTTAAGATACCAATGACTAGGGACCTAGCTAATATATACAAGCATTATTCTGTAGCACGGTGAGATGGCACTTGTACACACTGTATTATCATTTTCTGCAAATGACTGCAAACATGTAATACTAACATGGAATAACTTTCTTACAAGTTTTAAACTTGATAACTGACATTCTCATTTTACTTCATATAATACATTTTTAACATACTTATATTCTCAATGCCCTGACTTCCTAATGTGTGAAGACTGGTAAGCACCTCAAAGGTAAATTTCAGTTAATGCATCAATGTGTTGCATTCTCTTACGTCACACAGAGATGCACTCTCAAGACTGTTTTTACTCTACCTTATATTAATAAAATGTAAGATAATTCATGTATCTGAGCTAATAGACACTGTTAAAAATACCTTAATATTTTATTAAAGAACATTTTATTTTTTTTATTTTTATTTTTTTAAATTTTTTTATTTTTTTTATTTTTATTTTTTTATTTTTTAACGTTTATTTATTTTTGAGACAGGGAGAGACAGCATGAATGGGGGAGGGTGAGAGAGAGAGGGAGACACAGAATTTGAAACAGGCTCCAGGCTCTGAGCTGTCAGCACAGAGCCTGATGCGGGGCTTGAACTCACGGACCGCGAGATCATGACCTGAGCCGAAGTTGGATGCTTAACCGACTGAGCCACCCAGGCGCCCCTTAAAGAACATTTTAATGCAATTAAAGAGCTAAACCAGGGTAGGGTGATCATGTTGTTTTTATTAATAAATTAGTCTTCATAATAAAAGTAACAATTTCTTCACTTATTGTTTCTTACTCCAAAATGTGAATTCTCCAAAACAAAAAACTAAAACAATAGGTTCTCAAAACATTAGTCTATTTGGAAGTTTTGTTCTAAAAGCTGATCCAGAACAAATAAACAGTGTTAAGAATTTTTACTAAATTTTCCAGAAGTCAGTGTTTCTTAGAAGTAAAATAATGTTTAGCTATCCAGAATACAAATTTATTTAGGTATTACTAAAACATGGACATTATTAATGACCAAGTTAGACACTAACAATGTCTTCAGGGATAGTTTCTATCTAGAACTCATGACAAAACTTGATACTTTTTAATTATACAAAAAAATTAATGACTACATAAAATAGAAATAATCTTACCAGTCTTGAGGCATAAGTTTAAGCGGCTGGTCTACTACTCTATAAGGAACTGTGACACTAATTGCAGTGCCCCCTGGTTGCATCTGATCTTTTCTTCTCTGTATTAAAGTTTCATTTTCTCGTTGGCAGCCTTGTTTCTTCTTTTCATCTGATGGGACAAATCTTTGAAAAAACAGAGATGAAAAAAGGTCAAATGATTCAGTGGGACACAAATGGGAAAATAAGTTAGAAATTATTTTTAAAACCTTTTTTCTTTTTTTTTTAAATGAACCTGCTTCTGCATGTACAGATTACAATGTGTAGAGAGTATAATCTTTCTTCCCATGCCAAATAGCACTCAGCTCACTTAGTCCATAAGGTGGCTCACACAGAGACACACACAATTTATGTTCTTTCATCTAGCACTTAGCATTCTCCAAAGTTACATAAAAGACCATACTAATCCTTGGTTTTTCAAATGCTATTAGAAGGATATCCTATTATAAATCAAAAGGTCACTTGAAATAAGATGATGATGTGGCTTCTTCCCAGATACATGACTTAGTATATCCAAGAGCTTCACAAAATACCCCTTTTCATGGATTATGACTAAGCAAAATTAGAAAAATGCCATCTAATTTCAGGGTTGCTTTGCAAATTTTTAAGGAGGAAATTAAATAAGTGTATGCTAATTGTCTTAGTAAATAGTGCTAGTAATTTGGTAAATTACCAACTCTACCATGTGATTCAATTCTCCACTGTACCATCAACAGATTATCTTCAAATATAACTTAGCAATCTGCAGAGCTGTTGCCACCTCTAGATTGTTGGTGTTCACAAAGCATTTCAAAACAGTCGTTTTTTTTTTTTTAGCTGCATACTCCTAATACAGTCTATTAGCATATTTTATTAAAGTCCTTTGAAAATTTTGAATATCACATGCTGGATTCATCATTAGTAAAACTAGTCTCATACTCATGAAGGTCTTTAGTAGATGGTGACTGTGATAAACTAAACTTCATTTCTGAGCTATTTTCATATCCATGTCCAAATCTAATGGAAAAGTTAAGATTTTCATAAATTTAAAAATTTCCTCCAGATAATCATTTTACTCCCTATGGATTCAGTTTATTTATAAATCAAGCCTACTTAGAAAATACCAAATATAGGAGCACCTGGGTGGCTCAGTTGGTGACTTCGGCTCAGTTCATGATCTTGTGGTTCATGAGTTAGGGCCCCACATTGGGCTAACTGCTATCAGTGCAGAGCCCGCTTTTGGATCCTCTATCCCCTTCTCTCTGCTCCTTCCCCACTCGAGTGTGTACTCAAAAATAAACATCTTTAAAAAAACAAAAAAGGAAGTGCCAAATACTAACACTCTGAATCATTAAACATGTTAAAATTAATATACATGCACTGGTTGGAAACAGTTTTAATATAAAGCTACAACAAAATGTATTAAGTGAACAGTAATACACTGTGCTAAGTTACACAATATACATACTTGTACAAAACACCATCCCTGCCCTCTTGAAGTTTATGCTCCAGATACAAAGAACAAAGTTGTCTCACTGGCAAGTGAAAGATGCTTTATTTCAATCCTCTCTATCCAGATGGTATTAAAATGTTTACATTTTTAAATATAATACTGAATCTATTTTCTAGCTTTTGAAATTGTAAATGTTATAAAAGTATACAATTACTTATAAACTTTAATAAATTACTATACACACACACACGAGTGATTTATAATATCCAACTTTAATGTCTATTAAACACCTAATTCAACTTCTAAAGCGTAAGGAAGGAGTTACATAGCATTTCCAGGTTCACTTATTTGCTGATGAAAGTTTTATTGAGGTTCAGAGTATTAACATGGTTCTTTAACATCCTACAACTAATGGCCTACAATTTTTACATGCGCTAGTATTTTTAATTTCTGAATATATCTAGGCCTTTCTTTAGGATAGCAGCCTTCTGTAGAGTAAAATGTGTCTGTATTTCAAAATGCTTTTCAGCTTTGATCTCATGTATTAACACAAGGATAGATCTTCTAACCTACTCTCCTAAACTTAAAGTTAGAATAACAATGCAGACTTTTCCGTCCATGGAAGGTGCTGGCAAACTAATTAAGCTCAAGCTATTTTATTTCACTCAGTTCCTGGAATAGGAAATAAAGGTCAAATTCTGCTCAAGGGAGGGAATCTAACATAAGTTCCTTCTTTCATAAAGGTAGGACTCTCAGGGGTTAAGTTCAGTATAATGGTAAACTAGAAATAAACCCACTGCCCACTCTTTTTCCTGTCCCCTAGCTCTTATCAACGCCCTGGCAACTGCAAGGAAAATCAAATCTCTGAATTGTAAATTGGCCCTTGCTTGAATCTAAAGCAGGAATTAACCACCCTGACCACAATAACTAATTGAGAAATAAACACATTATCCAAGCCAGGCCAATGAGACTTAATCCTGGATTTTTGCTGGAATTATTGGAAAACAGGCACTGTCCTTCTACTGTGCTAGATAACCTGGAGTTTTTGATAGTCATCTTCAACCCTGAAGTGGGGGGGAGAACCCAAGAGATGGAAAGACCAACCCCTGATGATATCATTTCAGCACTGTGTCAGAAGCCAGGACTGTTCAGTCATGTTGAGCCAAATAAGTTATTTTTTGGTAAAGCTAATACAAATTGGTATTTATCACTTCCAATTTAAAGTGTTCTAACAAATACAACCAGAAATGCACATGTGATATGGTAGATGAATATATGTAATTTGGAGAAATATTATGATGTCCACTGACTCATCCAATATTTGCAATTTATTTATTCTATTTTACATTCCATGAGTGAAGGAGTATGGGTGATAGGACTAAAGTCACTACTATCTAAACTGGTACAGTTCTAGTGAAATAACTATGTTAGTATTGTCAAAGAATAAAATGCAAATAGTTGATATAGCCAAGTTAAGCTCAAAACTGTATGTTATTTTTATTTATTTATTTTTTTTAATTGTTTTTTTTTTTTTTCAACGTTCACCTATTTTATTTTTGGGACAGAGAGAGACAGAGCATGAACGGGGGAGGGGCAGAGAGAGAGGGAGACACAGAATCGGAAACAGGCTCCAGGCTCTGAGCCATCACCCCAGAGCCCGACGCGGGGCTCGAACTCCCGGACCGCAAGATCGTGACCTGGCTGAAGTCGGCCGCTTAACCGACTGCGCCACCCAGGCGCCCCAGTATGTTATTTTTAAAACAGAGCAAGTTTATGAATATTTCCCAGCAGGTTAAAAATACAGTTTTCCTTTTTCCTAAATAAAAGAAGTTGAAATTTGAAAAGTAGAGAAAAGACAAGAAAAAGCAACAATGTCTGGATGTTAAAAACCCTCAAAATGAAAATTTCATTTAAAGTGATGTAATATTGGCAACGCTCTTAGGTACTTTGCAAACACAAATGTAAACCTTTTCTGGAGTCCCCTCCACCCCTGCCATCCACCCACCTTCAATTTGGAACTCAAAGAATTTCCACAGAAAAAAACTCCAAGGAAAATGAACCGTAAATGAGTAAATGAAGACAATCAAAAATATTAAATGTACTAAAAAACTAAACATGCAGGGAAATGAGAGGTATCATGAATGAAACAACAGTCAAAATAGTCAAAAGAAAAGGTAACTAAGGACTTCAAATGCAAATATCAAAGATCAAAGCTTACAAAACAAGCTTGCAAATATGTACAGGAGAAAAATTTATTTTGAAAGAGACCAAAGATTTGAAAAAGAACTAAACAGAACCACTGAAATTGAAAAAGTCCCAAAAAAGAGAAGGGAAAAGGGGGGGTGGGGGGAGGCAACACAGAGGTATTATCTAAAGCAATAAGGGCCAAGACTCAGAATTGATGAAAAACACAAATCCATACATTCAATTTTAATGAATCCCAAAATGGGATATATAAGAAATCTACATCTAGGCAGAGCAGATAAATTTAAAATGGTCTTTAAAATAACCAGGTAAAGCAGATTTCCTTCATAGGATTATCACACTAACAGCTGACCTATCATCAACAAAGGAAGCTAGAAGATAGTGCAATAATATCTTCAATGTAAAGAGAAAAAAATTAAAAACTTCTATATTGTAGGGGCGTCTGGGTGGCTCAGTTGGTTGAGTGGCTGACTTCGGCTCAGGTCATGATCTCACGGTCCGTGAGTACGAGCCCCACATCGGGCTCTGTGCTGGCAGCTCGGGTCCTGGAGCCTGCTTTGGATTCTGTGTCTCCTTCTAACTCTGCTCCTATCCTGCTTGTGCTCTATCTCTCTCTGTCTCTCAAAAATAAATAAATGTTAAAAAAAAATTTTTTTTTTTTAAAGAAAAAACTTCTATATTGTTTTCCAAAGTGGTTGAATCTTTTTGCATTTCCTGTGGTTGTTTGGAACATGAATTATTCATGGTCCGGTATAAACTCCAGTATTTGTTCTGCTTGCTTCTTCCCCAGGCATCAAGCAGTTTTCTCACATGAATGTACTCCACAGTATTTGACTACTGCAAAGAGAATCCTCCGCATATCTGTGAGGCACTCTCTATGTGCAATTTCTCCCCTTTGGAACCTTGGTCCTGTGAGGCTACCATAATGGCCAGAATCACGAGTGTCATCCAATCATTTTATTTTAAATAAACTTACAGTCCTACTAAAACTTCTCTCAGGATCACATTTATAAATGTAAAATATATTTTTTAATACTTTCATAACACAACCTTAATTTTGTTATTTACAGATGTTAAAGGTTAAGGGTTTTGTTTTTGTGTGATTTTTTTATTGAAGGGACAAAAAAAAAAAAAAAAAAAAAAAAAGGAAGAATCCTTAATTTTACATGAAACCAAATAGAATCTATGCCAAATGAGCTATGGGGTACAGCCAGTACTGTAATTGTGTGGAGGAGGTTTCAATTATGCATTAATTACATAGCAAAGCCTCCAGCTGACTCAAACTGTAGGGGAGATGTCAGTTGCAATGAGGTGTTAAACAATGAAGGGAGTGTTTTATACTTAGAAGAAAAATTAGGCTTGGTCTACCCTAAGAGTGTGGTCTTTTTAATTGTTTGGTTTCTCTGTTGTAAGCCTAAAGAGGGGGGAAAAAAAACACTAAAATTTACTTTGTGATTTCTTTGCACTGTTTACTATCTACCATTATAAA